CCGGTATTGTGGGAAAACAAGTCATGGCTTTTGCATCAAGATAATGCACCTGCTCACTCGTCATTGCTTGTTGGTAATTTTTTAGCCAAAAACAACATGCCTCAGCCATCGTATTCCCCAGATTTGGCCTCCTGCGACTTTTTTTTGTTCCCAAGATTGAAGAGACCCATGAAAAGACGGCGTTTTGCGACGATTGATGAGATAAAAACCTAATCGATGAGAGAGTTCAACAAAATACCAAAAAGTGCAAAACAGACCTGCTTCCAGGATTGGAAAAGACGCTGGTATGAGTGTATTATAACTGAGGGAGACTATTTTGAAAGGGACAAAAGAGAAACTGATGAATAATGAATAATTTTTTGAGAAAAATGGCAACTCACATTATTTTTTTAGCAGACCTCATATTTCATACTGACTTATAAAATGTGTTGAACTTCTCAAGATTCAATTGATTTTCCTCCTGTATAAACATTATATGTTTCGTAACCGAAAACATTTTCGTTTTTGTAACATTATTTGAAAAATTAATAGTGCGTCCATAATACAAAACTAGAGTATCAATAACAGTTGATCCAGATTTCTAATTGACTCACCCTAATTGCTTTGGGAAGTTCTGAAGTACCTTCAAACGATTGAACAGTGCACTTTGTATCAATATGATTCAAATCCGCAGCAATGTTGGAGACTATCCTGTCACCTTGTATTCGTAAACATGAAATAATGGGATTCTGCTTCATCACCAAGCTCGTCATCTTCCCAAGAAAGGTGTGACCTCCCAGGATGCATACTTGAACTGATTTTTGGAAGGACTCTTTGGAAGATGATAGATTTTTCTGTGTGTATTGTTTGAGGATATCTGCAATTTTCTAATTAATACTGATGACTTTCATCACACTGAAGACTCTTACGATTTTTTATGAAATTGTGAGTATTCATTTTTGGTTACTAGAATTTTTGAGTGATTGGTAATGACAGATGTCACATTTGTATAGGTTAGAAATTTTTGAAGATTCATAGAAATATACCGGGGTATGGTCATTGATATTGAGAGATTTTATAACTCTGGATTTTCCTGTCTGAAACGTGAATACGAATTCATTATAATTATCATGATTTCTTGTGATTAAAGTGAGAAATTATAACAGTAAGATTTAAAATTCTCATTGGGGACCTTAGAAGGAAAACCTTGTTTCTAGTTCGAATTGTAATATGAAAATAATTGCACTGAACTTCAAATAATATACAGTGCTGCCGTAAATAGCCCTCTCAAATTTTCAACCAGACAAGACATCGAAGTCGAATAAAATTTACGTGAAAAGGTAACATGTTCAATACTTTTTTGATGAGAGAGGCAGTGCAGAGTGTTGCTAGATTTGTTGCCAAGAAGAGGCTACCTCACTTTCGTCGGTGGAAAGGAGGTTTTGTGACCACTCGATTGATAGGCGTTTCGATTCTCTGTTCAATATTTTCTCATTTTTGGAAATCAAATCAGCCGATGTTGAGTTTTATAAGTCTGTTTCAGAAGAGAAACATTCAAAACAACCTTTTCCAAACTACGAATTGGACATACACGCCTAACTCACAATTATCTCCTCAAGAGAGAAGAAATCCCCACGTGCTACATCTGTGAAACAACATCAACTGCGAAACACTTTTTGGTGGAGTGCCCGCTATACACAGATAAGAGATTGGCAAATGAAATTACAAAAGATCTAAAAGTGTTACGTATCGGTTAGTCGAACAATAAACTATTAAAATTTCTGAAAGACATCGATTTTCTACATAAAATATGAGTTACTAGTTACTTCTGATTCACTTATTGTAGTCAATTAATTGTAATACGAAAATAATTGCACTAAACTTCAAATAATATACAGTGCTGCCGTAAATAGCCATCTCAAATTTTCAACCGGACAACACATCGTAGTCGAATAAAATTCACATAAAAAGGTAACACGTTCAATAATTTTTTGATAAGAGAGGAGGCAGTACATAGTGTTGATAGACTTGTCGCCAAGAAGGGGCTACCGCACTTTTGTCGGTGGAAAGGAGGTCTTGTGACAACTCGTTTAATAGGCGTTTCGATTCTCTGTTCAATATTTTATTATTTTTGGAAATGAAATCAGCCGTTCTTGAGTTTTATAAGTCTGTTTCAGAAGAGAAACCTTATGCAGACTACGAATTGGACACACACGCCTAACTCACATCAATCTCCTCAAGAGAGAAAAAGTCCCCACGTGCTACATCTGTGAAACAACATCAACTGTGAAACACTTTTTGGTGGAGTGCCCGCTATACACAGATAAGAGATCAGCAAATGAAATGACAAAAGATCTAAAGAACGGTCAGTCAAACAATAAACTATTCATATTTCTGGAAAACATCAATTTTTTACATGAAATATGAGTTACTAGTTACTTTTGATTCACTTATTGTAGTCAATGTAATAAAAAAAGTATGTAAATTACTGTGAAGCCAATAACCCCTGGCGGTTGGGGCTTAAATAAAAAAAAAAGTTTTGTTCGTTCTTATGACTCTATTTTAAACTGCGATATTTCAGTGAATAGGTACTTATTTATTTCGATAGGAATTTGAATCAGTGCACTTTTGCCAACGTAACATAAGTGGATAAATTCGTCAGCATATAAACAGGGTGCTTGGGATTCAATGAAGTTGATGAAGGCCGTTTTTGCATGGTCCTGATTAGCAAAAGTTCTATCGGTGAGAAAGTTATCGAAGTGCTTAGAAAGATGGCAGTCGATTGGCGAGAGATCTGGAAAGTATGGTGAGTGAGGCTCAGTTCGTGAAACTTGCGGATCGGACCTCTTTCGTTGACCAGTGCCGGCTACTGCTGACGCAATTTTCAGTACGTTTCGTCAATTTCCTCACAATAGGACTCCAACGGTGGCTCGTCAGAGGAGACAAGGGAGGCTTAGCCTCCCCACAAAATTTGAGGCTTTTCATCGCAATAAATTAGAAGATTTTGACAAATAATTATGATTATTTTTTTCTAAAAATGCTTGAGTGTCATTACTTCACCATTATATTTCAATATAAATACAGAATATGCCCGAAAAAACACTATCACTCACTATGTAGTACGTACCACACTGTATCCTGCATCAACAAACTTCAAACGTACCGCCCATAAACGAATAACGAAGAAACCATCAAACTGAAATAATAAATGCCACACGTTGATCCGTTGCAAGGGAGCCAAGCCTCCGACCGCTTTAAAAAACACAAGCTACGCGAGACTGATCCAGCCAGCGACATACGTCCCGATTTGTAATTTAAGTTGCAGAAATTATAGCGTTAGAGAAGGCTAGCCTCCAGTTGGTATTCTTTAGTGTACGACTGCGTTTGTTTTTGATTTAATTATTCGGACGGGATGCCGGACGGACCGGAACTGAAAAATATTTCGATAAATAGTTTTAGTGTTTCTTGACAATATTTATTATTAGTGTATAAAATAGGCAGTACTGTATTATAGCACTGCTTTTTGTTAATGTTTTTACTGTGTTTTTGAAGTGTTTTCTTTCGAATTCAAGGTGTTTTCAGGTTTTCACTTTTCGGTAAGTTTTTTTTTCCATTTATTATGGATAAGTTGGACTAAATTAAAAAATCTGACGATATAGTCTGTTGGTTGCTGACAAATAATTTTAAGTGTTTTTCTAGTGATAATAAATTTTACATTATGGAAACTCTGGGAAGGCCTCAAATTTGATTTCAATTAAAGCGTCAGATAATCGAAAAAATCGAGGATTTAATAATAGTTGGTACGATAAATGCCATTGGTTAATGAGCTCCATTAAACGAAGAATCTTTTTTGTTGGCCCTGTGTTTTATTTTCTGTACAAACCGAATACCAAACGTGGTTTAAAATAGGATTCTGGAGATATACAGAAAAAACCAAAAAATCATCTGACTTGGGCCACCCCCATCTTTGAATTTTTAAATACGGACCTTTATTTTTTGTTGTAGTTTTCGGATCGTAGACGTTCACGTTAAATTAAATTTTATACTTCGGCATGTTTCGGTAATATTCGATTATAATTATGTGAATTATTTCCTTTTGAATTACGGCCCTGGAAATTGGAAATTGGAAATAGGTACCTATTCATATTTTTTCCATTGTTCTGAGCGTTTTCTACAATGAACTTCGAATAAGAAAACCTTTTATGATTATTTGAAAAATATCTACATCAAAAATATATTATATGTGTTTTGATGAGCAGAAAAAAAAATAGTAGCAATAATAACATCCGAAACAAACACTATAATTGTAATGAAAATTGAAATGAAGTTATTTATATAGGTAGGTACCCAAAAAAATTATTGGCGCAATAAATGTTCGAATTGGAGTCCTTCCATTTCGAGACATTTTTAAACTTGGTTTTTCATATTATTTATTGCCCTTAATACACTTATTTGCTGCATTGTTGCGAAATCATTCAAAATACTCAATCTCGAGTCTTCCACATTTTCTTTCTATCTGCCAGCGTAAATCCTGTTTTTTAATGCCCCCCATAGAAAATAGTCTAAAATAGTCATATCTGGTGATTTTGCAGACCATCTAATTGTCACTTTATTTGTCTCGAAATGGACTCTAATTCGAACATTTATTGCACAATTAATTTTTTTGTGCATATAAATGACTTACTTCATTTCAATATTCATTATAATTATAGTGTTCGTTTCGGATGTTATTATTGCTACCTTTTTTTTCTGCTCATGAACACACATAGGTATTATATATTTTTGTTGTAGATATGTTTCAGATAATCATAAAAGGTTTTCTTATTCGAAGTTCATTATAGAAAACGCTCAGAGCAATGGAAAAAATATGTATAGTTACCTAAAAATGAAAAAAAACTCTACGATACATAGGGTGACATGAAAGTTGCTATTTTCCAGGGCCGTAATTACGTAATTGAAGTAGATTATTTTTGGTTTTGACATCAAAACATGAACATCAGTCCTGAGAGTTTCATCGTTCCACCTCGAATATTACGGAAGATACGGGGGTGTTTCCACGAGAAGTGAGACAAATTCGGATTTTTCAGGACTGAAATTTTTTCAGAAAAAAAGTGTATTCGTAGTAAGTTGGTAGTCCTGATCACGAATCTGAAGGAATTTTGAGCCTATTTTGCCCCCTAATATGTTTTACCGTAAAAATGGGGTGTTCCATCGCGATTGGTGGACAGTGTATATCACTTTGGCTAACCCCATTCAGGTGGTAGGTGCATTTTGAGCATTTCCATCAGTCCTGAGAGTTTCATCATTCTACCTCGAATATTACGAAAGATACGGGGGTGTTTCCATGAGAAGTGAGACCCACTGTATAACGGCTTGAAAGTAGTATGTTTCAATACCGTTGGAAACTTTCCTACCTGAAAACAATAATTGATCAGAGAAGCTAGAGGTGTAGCGATTTTGCTGGCAACTTGATTTAGAACTTCGCAGCGAATATTGTCATGCCCTGGAAATTTTTAGTTTTAATTATCTTTGCAATTACCTCTGTTTCATTTGTTGTTATTATTCCCCTTTTCAATTTTATTTTATCGACACTCTCTTTCATCCGTCATTATTCACAAAGTTCTGTGATGAAAATCCAATTCATTCTGTAGTATATGAATACAAACCCTGTTTCGCTTCGTTATAGCCCCCATAATTCGAAGTGAATACATTTTTATGTGTTTGGCGGTTACTTGTAGTTATAATACCATCTGATAAATTTCCCCGAACAATGTAGCAGCACTCTCTGTTCAAGGGCCCATTAAAGCACTTCTATTAATAACCACAACAGCAAACTGTCGTAGTTGATTGATGGTTCAATAAAACAATATTACACGCCATTGGAGTTCGATATGTGTACCAGGCGTTTCAGCGATGTGCATATTTCTTATTCAAATGAATCATAAAACGCCTTTGTATTTTCTGCATTCTTGGAAAAATGACTCGCGAGAGTTACAATGATTTTGGGAGTGCAT